AGGCCCTTGTACACGGCCGCCTTGATGGGCAAGATGGGCACGAACGCCTGGCCCCCGGCCAGCTCTTCCTTCCCGTGCAAGGCCAGTCCGTAGCTTTCCGTCCGGTAATTGACCGCTCCAGCCCCGCTGCCGCCATCTTGATGAGGCGTCTCGACAATCCTCGTGGGGAAAGTGGCAATCTGCTGCGCAAACGGACTCAGAAACAGCGCGACGATCATCACCACGGCGCCAAAACTGCCCGCGAACCCGCCCCGCGCTTGCACGAGCATGTTCACGGCGCCGAACGCCCCCCGCGAGGCGTCGTCGTAGATCTCCATGTCGGACAGCGGGGCGCGCCCCTGCTTGAAGCGAATCCATTTGAGCTGGCCCAGCCCGCCCGAGAGCGGGACGCTCATGCTGGCCGTGGCGACGGTGGCCAGGATGGCGATGACGGCGTTCAGGGTGATCCAGTGCGGCCACGAGGGGAGCGGCTGGCCGTCGTAGGTGGCGAGCACGGCGATGATGGACGCTACGGCTCCCATGGCGACCAGCATGCTGATGGATTCGTAGGTCCAGGTGCCGTTTTTGGAGAAGATGGCGGAGAGCTTGTCGGATTTCATGTTGGACGAGCCGCCCGAGCCGCTGCTCATGGTGGAGTGGCGGTTGGCATGTTTAGTGCGGTTTTGTTTTTCCCACGAGGCGGGCGAGGCGGACATGGGCGAGACGGAGGAGGTTGTGGGCTGTTTTGGGGGGAACATGAAGCCTTCTTGCCCTTGGGTTGAGAGGTATTGTTGTCCTTCGACGGGGAGTGGGACTTGTTGGATGCCCTCAAAGTGTCCCTGGGGGTTTTGGTAGTCGGCATTGTTATACTGGTAGTCATAATATTGTTGTTGTTGGTGGTGGTCGGCGTATAGAGGTTGTTGGGCTGGGTGTGTCTGGTCTGGTTGTTGAGGAACAGCGCCGGCATGGACTGGTAGGCCGTTGATATCGACGTATTGGAAGGACTGGTTATGGATGTTGTTATTGTCGACATCTCCTGCTTGAGACTCTACGGCCGCTGTGAGGGGAGTGAGACTGTCTGCGCTTATCACGCGCTCATGGCGAACTGGATGATACCCGGACGCCATGGCTTCGGAGTGTTGTTGTTAAGAGGAGGAAGAAAGTTGAAGAGGCACAGCACCTGACAACCTCTCGAGGGACAAAATTCCCAATATCAAACCAACAATGCCTATGTATAGGCTGAACAGAACAGTATTAAATTACAGAAGAAACATTCTCTCAAGAGAACGGAGGGGAGGGGGGCGGCAGACTTGACCACGGCTTTGTATCCCATCAGCAGCCCCCCCCCATCTGCAAGTGATGGCACCAAAAGAAATTCTGCATCTTGGCAAGTGGTATTCTTGTAACCCAAACGAGCTACATGGTCGATAATGGCTTTTTCACTCTTTTCGTCCTTTGCTGTCACCCTCTCTGGTACCCTCCACCAGTCGAAGGACTCGAAGGGACGTTGTCGATCTCCGGCCAGTCATCCCCCACTCGGAAAGGGAAGGTTGATATCCCGCCGCTTGCTTGATTGACCCCCGCAACAGCGTGGTATCGGGGGACTGTAGCACTTGAATGCAAAGAGATGGTGGTGTGCCCGCTCGATAGGCCGATAGCTTGCCGTTCGGTTCTTACTTGTAGCCAACTACTACACGTGTAAAGTCCAACCCCAAGTGCGCTGCGCGTAAGAAGGAAGTTGGTTGCCATGTGTGCCATGTCAACCTGAATGGTGGCCTTGAGGCTTCTGGCGCACTACGCTACAATACACTACACTAGCGGGCACTGCGGCGGCTCGGCTCACTCTTTAGCTGAATGCCATTGGCGCGGAGTGCCGCAGCAAACTGCGCCACGCAGGTGCATTCAGGCTGCATCGCAGGATGGGAAGGCTTCCTTTTTGTTTCCTTGATCATGCAGCATGGTCCGGCATGGTTCGACGGGAGAACGGCCGCCAAGTCCAGGGCTGAAGATAGCGGCAAATCGCTGAATGTTGTGGTCGAAAACACCGTCGGTCAACTGCTGTTCCATTGGGCATTGGCGGATAAGAGGGATACCATGTCTGAAAATACCTAGGAAAAACCCCGTCGCCAACATATATCGGACACCTCCAACGGCTCCCGTTTTTTTTTTCCCTTGAAAGTTTGAGGCTGTCAAGTACAGGTATCAATCAATCACGGCCTGCCTATGCGGTGTAATTTACCGTCCTACGCGGGCACACCATTCATCATCCTCAAGACGGACGATCAAACTCGGTCGCACTTTTGGGCGTGCTGACGACGGACATCATCGCACTACCGACCGACCGACCTGTCCTCCATCGGCTCTTTCACGTCTGTTGTGCTACGGGAACATACGCCGTAGACGTACACTATGTGACACAACGTCAATACGGATCAAATCCCTCCCAAGGAAATATTATTTGGGGGCGGATGGCCAAAAAAAAAAAAGTCGAGTGTTAGCCGGCCGGACCGTAAGGCTGTGATAGAAGCATTATACTGTCTTGAGGTTCCCTCCACTTGTGCGAATCTGATTGAATTGGTCTTGACCTCAGATCCGGCTCACTGGAGCTGAGCAGGAGAGTATGTCTTACGCCAAGAACAGGGCAGTTAGTTGCAAAGATCCGCCCCTTATCTTCAGGCGTTGATTTCGTCAAGCATTTCATTCCCGACGGTGAGAAGTCTGTTTAATTCACCGGGCACATAAACCCCAGACCATTGATTGGCCTCCAGCTGAGTGCAGTTAGAGGCAAAATGATAATAATATGAGAGGCTTGGTTCCAGAGCGTCCACGTCGAGCCCGTGCCAGCCTCCTAGTATCCTGAGGCTCAGCTCTTCCCTCCCTAGATTTTTTTCAATTCGCAATTTCACCTCACTCACTTTTCATCCTCGTCGGTTTGTGCACATGGTCGTCTTCGGCGATGGTGTTGTGATAATCCATTTGGACCGCAGTTTAGCGCTCGGGAAAACTTGGCATTAACAGCGGGTCCGCTATTCTCGAAATATGTAACATCACCAAACCAAAACAGGGAGGTTGTCACTTGTCAGAAATCTGTCCGCTATAGTCGGCTTTGCGGATGCCTGATTATGTTAGTGAGAGAAAACAGAAAAACTGGAGAGAGGGACAAGAGGGACAAGATACCTCTAGACAAGACGTGATGTTTGGTTGATGTTTGGTGGTTGTTGTGTGTTGAAAAGAAGAAATGATCATTGGTCCGTTGAGCGGGAAGAGAACCGTTACGGGGTTAGTTGATAAAAGTACCGTAGAAATAAGAAATGATTGGCCAGAAAAAACAATTGCATCGAGTTGTGTGCCTGGGGTTGGCAACTTGGTATGATATCGAGAACTTTAATCCAAGTTTGTCATGAACCTCTTTTCGTGAACATCACGGTCAGGATAGAACAGGGCTTCGATTCAGCATCAGATTTGAGGAAGGGACAGAGCTTAAACACCAGGTTGCCAGAAGGAACGAAAACAAACGCGATATGGCATTGATACAGCCTATCCGCTAACAGTTCCCTCATCCCCGCCCAAACACATACATTCCATTCATCAACCACCACACACCCACCCACCCGATGTTTTCGTTCCTCTTACTCATTCGCCCACTTGTAAGCACCATTTGATCTTGTAACGGAAGACTTGGCGGCGCAAGATCCAGTTGAGAAATGCTTCCTTTAAATGACAGTGTGTTGCGTCAAGAGGATATTCCATCCATGTGCCACCGACTCCCTCACTTCCATTCTTGTTGCTAGGCTTGCGTTTTGCATGGGAGTCGAAGCAGATAGGCAAGCGCACAAAAGGACCTGCACAGATCTGGGATGTATATCGACGACCAACAGCAATAGCAAGCACATCCCATCCTTTGGATTGAGACTGTCCATGCCATGACGGCCAGCCTGAATGTGACCTCACTTCCACATGATAAGCAGCGCATGTTCTACCTTCTTTCTTCGCCATCTCATCATTCAAGATCCTATCGAGTTTCTTCAGAAACCCTCCCCGCACTGGCAGAGATGGACTGGATGTCGTAAGTTGCCGGTACCCAACCGATATCCTTCATGTTTGCCATGTGCGAGAAAAGTGGGTGATACGAAACTTCCAGTCCGAAGCGAGTATAAAGGAGAATTTTGGTCAGATCGACTCCAAGACCCTGCTCGTGATGATGGTAGAGAAGCGAAGTTGCATCAATCAGGAAGAATGAGAGGACAAGGAAAGACGCACGAGCTGATAAAATACAGCGGGAATGCGCGAATGGACATAAACAGAGTTAGGTAGTTAGAGGACATGGCAAATGAATGCCCGGATGAAGAAGACAGGTAAGAACATCATCAGATGGGGACCGAGATGGCGATGGATAGTAAAAAAAAGAAGAAGAGTAAGACAAATCCTGCAAGAGGACGGGAACCAGCCACTTGTTCAGGTTAAAGCGTCCGTTCCATTCTCACCTACCTCCACTTCCACTTGAAGCCCACAACACCCTCCCCCCCAACCGACACTTGCGTTAAAGTGAGTGGTGCTGCATTTGGTCTTTCCAGGCAGTGAAAAGGAAGTGACGATGCTTTGCGACTGCTAGAGGTCGAGTTGGTGGGCATGTCAGGAGAGTCCCGTGATAGTAGTAGCCAGTGCCCAGTGGGTGACTCTCTTCTGCTGCGTGGTGAAGACGGGATCGTGCAACCATAGTGAGTCGGGTTCAATGTGCATATCATTTCTGGGTGAGGAAATGGCAGCTGGAACATAACCGGTAAATATATAAGGTAGAATGGTGCGTTGTGAAGGTGCAAGCGTGAGATTACCGGAAGTTGGGAAGTCGTTTGTTGTGAAAGTGCGATGTCGAAATGTTCACAGAAGAAGATGTTGTTACCCCAAGCCATTGCCTGCCGGATGTTGAATTGCGGCAATCTACTCCCGTCCAGAATTGACAGCTAAAGCTACGGCTGGAGTGGGGTACTTGAGTATCTAATCTTACCACTGTAAATAACAAAGCCCGTATAGCTCAGTGGTAGAGCGCATCACTCGTATTCCCAATCTGCGACATGATGAGGTCCGCGGTTCAATCCCGCGTGGGGGCATTCAACAACACTTCTTCATTTTTGTATTTTTTTATCCATTGCACTTCTTTCTGGTTCTAAATGATGGCCGACGAACGAACAACCCTCCCCTCCTTTTTTTTGTTCCGGTTTCAAATTTTCTTCTTCCTGATGTCTTTCCTACTGGAGGGATCAGGTTGTCGAAATGCTGCCACGATACATGACAACATGGTCAAAGTCAATGCTCCTTTTACCGTAAAGCTACGAGAATTGAACGCGTGCAGTCATTGCCATAGCTTTGCCTCGCTTGTTGCTCACCTCCATTTAATACTTTGCAATACGTACGCGTAGTCAGTTTGGTGGATAGGAAGATAGCCGACTGCGAGATCACAGTCTTTGGACCTATCAACCACGCTCGGATCTTGCCAACGTGTTTTAACAGAACTGAGGCTTTGAGGCTTTCTTGTTTCCTTAACTTGTAATTGTATGCAATGTCTCGTTCCCGTAAGTGTATACAAGTAACCTACGACAACCAACCACGCCTCGAGACCGAGCGGCATTCGTTGTAACTAACAAACCAAACGCATATCAACCCCAATGCTTTCGTGCTCCTCAGCTACCCGTGAATTATCCTTGTGTATAACCGTTTTAAGCCCAGAAACAATTTCTAAACGCTTCGTCACTGCACACCTTCACCATCTGGTCTCTTCACAATACACGACAAACACACACACACACACGCACACACGATAAGCGCCAAGCAGTTTGATAACGTTTAGAATTTGACATCTCTTCGCCTAAGCCCATGAGTAACCCAAGATAACACACACACATCGGGCTTTTTGCTTTTGAACCTGCTGCCTTCCATCCTCAAGCTCCGCTCTCTTTCTTTTTGAAATTTCTCCGAGCTGGCCGTTTCCACCAACAGGACCTCGAACGAGCCAGCCCTTCGCCCCTCCAAAACATGGGCCACCTTCCAACAACCTACTGACGACGAGATCCTCCTCCGCAGTGGCCTGATCTAGTCGACCCACACCGCTTCGTCAATTTCGGGGTATCATGAAGTTGTGTCCAAGTGAGAGGGTAAAAACCGTGCCGTGAAGTGCCTACGTGAGCTGACATAAAAGTGGAGGAAACGTTCCAATTTTGAAAGTTTTGTTTTCCGTGCCGTCGTGTCCCTGTGCTGAAAGAGCATTGAAGCCGATTGTGTATATATCGAGAACCGTGGACGCCGAGATTTTGACCGCTGCATTCGTTCGTAAAGGCATACATAAGCGTATTAAGAAGGGAATAAAACAATGTGGTAATGTCGATGGCTAGTAGTCCAACTGGCTGTCAGCGATGATGTGAGGACTGCCATCACTCGTGGGCGGACTGCCATCACCGTTGGTGTGCGCACCGCCGTCACCGTTGGTCTGTTCAGCTGCCTAAGCGACAGGGGCAACGGGGGGGACGGGGGCAGCAGCGAGACCCGGGCCAGCGTGGTTAACGTTCAGGTCGTCCTGCTTGATCTCGCCGTTGGTGTGGGGCTTGTTGGGGCAGTCGCGCGAGATGTGGCCCGTCTCACTGCACTGGTAGCAGGTCTTGCCGGCAGTGTTGAGGGGGCCGCCGTTGGGAGCGGTGCAATCACGGGAGATGTGGCCGAGTTTGCCGCAAGCGTAGCACTTCATGGCCTGAGCCTGGCAGTCGCGAGCAAAGTGGTTAGGCCCACCGCACTTGTAGCAAGTAGCGGGACGAGCACCGCCAACGAAGCCACCACGGCCGTAACCGCCGAAACCGCCACGGCCAACGGGGGCGCCACGCTGGGGCATACCGCCAGTGGGGGGGTTGGGGCAGGCGCGCTGTGGGAAGAAAACAAGTCAGAGGGCCATACGATGCATCGCCAGATATCAAGAGCTTCGTACCATGTAGTGGCCGGGCTGGCCGCAGTTGTAGCAGCGACTAGTAGAGCCGGCACCGCTGATGCGAAGAGTAGGGCAGTCAGCCTGGACGTGGCCGAGGCCCTGGCAGTGGTAGCACTGCTTGGCCTCGGTGCTACGCGGAAGAGGGCATTCGCTGGACTCGTGGTCTGTCGATGGAGGTTAGAAAATCATCACGTAGGGCTACCAATCAGGGGCGGAGAAATCGTACTGGGCTGCTTGCCTGTGTCACAGTGTTAGTTACCTGTCTAGAAGGTGGGACGGGACGGGAAGAGAGGTCTATTCTATAGCTTACAGTTGTAGCAGAGTCTGTGGGGGGAAGAGCAGGCCTCAGCGTGGTGGCCGAGCTCACCACACTTGTAGCACGCGCGACGAGAGAGGGAAGACATGGTGATGGTTGATGTATATAAAAAGGGTCTGCGAATTTGTCAGGTTAGAGAAGATCTGAAACCGTTGAAGTAGTGCTGTGGCAGCATCTTGACAGGTCGCCTCTTGGCCCAGTTCCTGTGCCCCGCGCCCAGCCCTTATCGTTGTACGTAGGTCTCGCAGGAACAAGAGTTCCAAGTCCGACCCGGCATTGATCAGTGCACGCAGATGGTCGTATGTAGGTCGCACCGCTGCCGGTCCGCTGCAGTTGCCGATTCGACGCCCGGACGGTTGTATGCGCTGAATTGATGCCACCGACAGCCCCATAGCAGCTACCGCTTGAACCGATCCAAAACATGAGCGCTAGCATTTCCCAGACCACAAGGCCGTGAAGCTTGCTTGACTCTGGTTCAGCTTGCGCAACACATGTGTTCCCATGCCCGGCTACGGTTGTGGTGGCGTATGACGACAAGACAGAGCTTCAACTCTCCCAGACGCAGTCATGCTCGATAAAAAGGTGCTAGCCGATGATGCGATAATGCGCGGTAAAGTGGGGTTGGACCGTCGTTTTGGTATGCAGAGGCGCTTGCATGGTTTGCGACAACAACCAGAGCGAGGGACAAGCTGATAGTTTGTGTATGTTTGTCGGCCAGTTGTCGCCTCTTTATTGTCTTGTCGATGTTGTCGATGGTGTTGTTGTTGTCGTCGTCGTCAACGCGCGCTTGACGGGCAGTGGTACCACAAGGGAGGGCGGGGGAAACGGGCGACCTGAGGCAGGGCAGCCATGCTCGATGGCGGCAACAAGGCAACTTGAAGGCACTGCAACGCGCCGTGACAAGACAGAAGAGAGGAGAGGCTTGACTGACCTTTGATAAAAGAGGACAGATACCCAAACAAGAACTCGGAGACTCTCTGACAACCTGCAACAAACTTCTTGGACTTGGTCAACCTTCTCACCAACTTCAACACCAAAAAAAGCACCAAGAGAAAACCGGGAGCGAGCGTACCCTGTGCTGGTGATATGATTCCAAGGAGCGATGCTGGAGGAAGGGAAAAGAAAGAGAAAGAGGGGCGGAAAGCACGGAACAAGTAGGATGCCTAGGATGAGTGCCCGCTGCAGACTGGAGCCTATGCGCTGCCTCTTGCGCTCAGGTTCTTGGCCAGCCAGCAGCAGCAGCAACAGCAGCAGCAGCAGATGCTGAGACTGACTGAGCAAAGGTCAGAAAGACAGGGAACCGCACTCGAGACCTTGCTGGAAAGAGACATGAAAGGAACCTTGTGCGTGGGTTAAACATTGGTCTCTTACCAGGCTAGTGGTTAGAGGTAAGGTATTTGGAAAGTACCCCAGACCCCTTGCCTCGTCCTTTTGGGAAGGCGTTAATCTGCCACGGTTTCCCCGTCTTTCTTTCCATTTGCGGGCGGGCGACGACTCGGAGAGATGAGTGGACCCGATGCTCTATCGCTTCGTTTTCTTTGACCTCTCAGCTTGTAATTTCCCGTCCAGCTGTTTGTCTTGGTCCTTGACTGCAATTACGACCAACCCCAAGCTCCTTCCTTTCATGCCCACGGGTCATCGTGTTCTTTCACAGTTCCAGAGCAACAACCTGAACCTCGACGAAACAGTCAGATAAAACCACACGCTAAAAAAACTCGATGAGCTCTTGGCAGGCTCCACTCTGCCCGCACGCACTCGTCCGCTCTCGCTCTGTCTGGTACTCTGGTGTTCTTTCCAGTGACGGTGACTCGCTGCTGGTGCTCCGCGCACAGGCAGGGGACTCGGAATATTGAGCTCCACTCGCCCGACATCTCGACCTCACATTGGATTCGCAGGAACAGGCCAAGCGCCCATCACCTTCTTTCGTGGGCGGCTTATGGCACCGACGATGCCCTCCCTGCCCAGTCTAGCCACAGACAGCCAAAAGGCATGAATCGCACGCGCCCGTTGCGACATCTGACACGGAAGCTTCCTTTTTCCGCTAGAGCAATCATTGCTTGCGACTGGATATCCCCATTGCTGACCCCAAATCCTCGAGCCATGGCGACGGCAACAGCCCGATAGGAACAATGGCTGGCGGCAGGCAGTTGCATGGTCGTATCTATCTCCTCCCATGGAAGACATGAATGCGACATCAAGGTCGTTGTCGGCGGAACCCTTCATGTCCGTCTCGTGCCTGCAGGTGAGGGTGTCAGCTCGGTACGATGCCAGTGACAAGGAACCCGGGTTGCTGCCGACTTGTGCCGGCCCGTGACCTTGATGGGAAGAGAGCTTGTCCACTCATCTTCCAATGGCAGACATTTCGAGGGCCATCCCGTAGTGTACAACCACCCCCGCTGCAGGTCCTGGACAGCTGGGCTCCTGGGGAAATGTAACCGACATGCAGGGCGCCGCGGTCACAGGGCGATTGGTAACAACCTCTCTGAAGGGAAATTCAGAGAGAGCGACGTCGTTTCGATTTCTCATCAACGCTTCAGCTGCCACAAGGTGGTGAAAGAGTGGTACATAACACGACCGAGCAAGCGGAGGCAACCAATCACAGACTTGGGAATCTAATCGTTTCTCATACATACATACATATCAGCCCATGAAGTTTTGTTAGTCTGGTTCTTGCCCCATATTTTCTTACAAGGGGGTTTGCAAGGCAGGACAGGTCTATCTACGTTATCTAATTGGCTGAAATCGCCTGATCTCAAAGTGAGAAACCTGGAAGAGTTGCCCTGTTGACCGCACACGAACCTCTTATACTGGCTCACAATCAC